TTCCACCCAGCCGTCGGCCTACTTGCAGGACTTTCAACTCGAGACTAGCCTCCCTTCAAGGACCGCACCACCGTCATCCACGAACTTGGTCACCCGTTCAGGTACGGCTCACCCACTCTCTCAATTTTTGTCATATGCTCAACTTTCTCACTCTCACAAAACTTATCTGGCCCACCTTACCCTTCTTAAAGAACCTACAAGTTTCTCTCAGGCAGTCCAAATTCCACAATGGCGTGCCGCCATGAAATCTGAGATTGATGCCCTACAGGCTAATGGGACTTGGAGCTTGGTGCCGTTGCCACCTCATAAATGACCGATCGGCTGTAAGTGGGTATATAAGGTGAAATTGAAGGCTGACGGTACGGTGGAACGCTACAAAGCCCGCTTGGTTGCAAAAGGCTACAGTCAAGTGGAAGGCGTTGATTACCGGGAGACTTTTGCCCCGGTTGCCAAATTGGTGACCGTCCGTATTCTCCTTAGTGTGGCCTCTCTGCGTGGCTGGCATCTCCACCAATTGGATGTGAACAATGCGTTTTTGAATGGCGACCTTGATGAGGAGGTGTTCATGTCCTTGCCTCCTGGTTTCGGACGAAAGGGGGAGAATCGGGTCTGTCAGTTGCACAAGTCGTTGTACGGTTTAAAACAAGCATCTAGGCAATGGTTTATCAAGCTGTCTACTGCCCTCAAAGCCGCGGGATTCCGACAGTCACGATCCGACTATTCTCTGTTCGTCCGAAGTCGTCAAGGTAACTTCCTAGTGTTGCTTGTATATGTTGATGACGTTATACTGGCAGGGAACAATTTGGAGGATATAGAGAACACGAAATTATTCTTGGCCAACCAATTCAAGCTTAAGGATTTGGGTCAGTTGAAATATTTCCTCGGCATCGAAGTTGCCAGATCACGGCATGGAATCAGTTTGTCGCAACGTAAGTATGCCTTGGAAATTTTGGATGATGCTGGATTTTTAGGTGTCAAACCTTCTCGGTTCCCTGTGGAACAGAATTTATCACTCACACAATTTGATGGAAAGTTATTAGATGATGCTTCAGCATATAGAAGAATGGTTGGGAGGTTGATATATTTGACCATAACTAGGCCGGACTTGACTTATGCTGTACATGTACTAAGCCAGTTCATGGATAAGCCACGGCAACCACATTTGGAAGCAGCCCATAAAGTGCTTAAATACATTAAGCGAACACCGGGTCAAGGTATCCTGCTACCATCTACAGGATCACTCCAATTGCGGGCATTCTGTGATGCTGATTGGGCACGTTGTAAAGACACAAGGAGATCAATCACGGGATACTGCATTTTACTTGGGCAAGCACCGGTCTCTTGGAGGACTAAGAAACAAACAACAGTATCGCGTTCAAGTGCGGAGGCCGAGTACCGTTCCATGGCTACTACTTGCTGCGAAGTCACATGGTTGAAGAACATTTTG